AATGAGTGCCTGTGGTGTTTTTTTATGTCAAATAATCTAATGCAACGAAAGAAAGAAAGAACATATGACCTTTTTAACGTGGTATTGTCAATATGACACTAGTCCACAGAGAGGATCTCCCTCTCAGATTTTATCTTTTCTTATTTCCTTGGCCTTAACTATAACATACAACCGCATATATATTGAGTTTGATACTACAAACCCTAAAATATTTAATTACATAATGGTACCTAATGTCTATATAATAAACACCCTTTTTCAAATTGATGTTGGGATCTCAAAATCAATTTAAAAGACAGGTACCAATGTATGTTAGAGGCAACAAATTTAGTCAACAAATATGTAGTATGTTCCTTAGTCGAGAGATAGCTAAGTTGAATCGTCCCTTCTGCTACTTGTTGTCGAATGTAGTACACATGCACTTCTATATGCTTCTTACAATCATGTAGCCGTATAACCGCAGTAGCCATATATAAAGGGATTCATTAAATCCTTCTTCATAACGTCGTTCAGTAGCCATATATAAAAATTTTGGTGAAATCTTTTTGATCGGGTAATTAGTTTTCCAACCATATATATTGATTACAGATTAGGAAAATATATATGCATTATATATTTTACCATGAACGGGGAGATACATATCTCTCCATTCTCTGCACCTAAAACAAAAGGTTTTGTTGTCTCCTCATAAAAATTTGCATATGAGAATTACACATGGCAAATTAAACATAGAAACCTTAAACGTGTTTATCATGCAAAGTTGGCAATTACCATGCATGTCACCCACTTGCCAAGAAAATCATAATAAGATAGGAAACTTAATAAAACTTATATGGTACACTTCAATATTAATATATTACTTCCCACTATATAAGAGTCGTCAGTGACCATCAGAAGCGAAACTCAAAGAATACAAAAGAGATATACACTCACTCTGTGAAGGCACGATTATGGGTTAAGATCAGGTGACTAAGGGGGGTACCCTTAGTCACTTGGCTAAGTTAATCTCAGCCTTCCATGCTCATTAAAATCCTAAGGCTATAATTAATTTATTTTAAGGAAGGACAACATGGTAATTATACATTTTAATTTTGTAAATAAAAAAAAGAAAAGAGTCCTTCCCTCACCTGTTTGTCGCACGCGGAGATGAATCCACAGAGACGGCGGCGGCCATGGACGACGGCGGCGAAGGACGACGGTGGCCAGGGACGACGACGGCGAAGGAAGACGGCGGGTCGATGGCGTTCTGTGTTCGGGGGAGAGAGAGGGAGGCGGAGGTAGAGGAGAAGAGAGAGAGGCGAATCGACCGTAGAGGAGAGAGAGCGGCGGCGGTAGAGGAGAAGAGAGAGAGACGGCGGTGGCGGCGAGGAACAACGACGACGGTGAGGAACGACGGCGGCGGCGAGGAACAACGACGAGAGGGACGACGACCGTGGAGGAGAGAGAGGCAGCGGCGGTTGAGGAGGAGAGAGACACCGACATCACCAATTTGTTGGCGGCGGCGACGATTTCGTAATTTCATCATTCCAGTTTGTATACTTTATGTTATGATTTGTACTGTTTGTATGTTTTGTATTGTTTTGTACGTTTAGTATGCTTTGTACTGTTTGTCGGGTTTTTTGTAATGTTTGTACGCTTTGTTATTTTGTAATGTTTGTTGGTTTCTTTTGTATTGTTTGTAATCTTTGTATGACTATTTTGTATATATTGTAATTTGTAATTTTTGTTGCTCTAGTTTGTATACTTTTATGTTAAGATTTGTATACTTTGTATTCATTTGTTTGTAATACAAGTTTATCAATCTGTATTGTAAGTAGTGATATTTTGTACGTTTAGTATGTTTTGTACTGTTTGTCGAGTTATTTTGTAATGTTTGTACGCTTTGTAATGTTTGTTGGTTTCTTTTGTATTGTTTGTAATCTTTGTATGACTATTTTGTATATATTGTAATTTGTAATTTTTGTTGCTCTAGTTTGTATACTTTTATGTTAAGATTTGTATACTTTGTATTCATTTGTTTGTAATACAAGTTTATCAATCTGTATTGTTAGTAGTGATATTTTGTACGTTTAGTATGCTTTGTACTGTTTCTTTTGTAATGTTTGTAATGTTTGTTGGTTTCTTTTGTATTGTTTGTAATGTTTGTTATTTTTGTCCACATGTTTGTCATTTTTGTCAACCATGTTTGTAATGTTTTTTGCATCACAAATCAATACATATAAAGTATACAAATTATTAGTACTTACAATACAAAGCGAAACATACTAAGAATACAAGCAAAACATACTAAGAATACAAACTGTCAAAGAAAAACATACTAAGAGTACAAACTGTCAAAGAAAAACATACTAAGAGTACAAACTGTCAAAGAAAAACATACAAACCATACTGACATTTTGTACAAAAATACTAACAATACAAACTAATGTTACAAAACATACAAACTATACAAATCACTGTTCTTCCTTCAGACGACTCTCTCTCCACCGCTGCCGCCGCCGTCGACTCTCTCTCCACCGCTGCCGCCGCTGATTCAATCTACTGCCATCGCAACCTCTCTCTCACTCTCTCCATCGTCGCGCCGCCTCTCTCTCCTCCATTGTCGCCGGCTCTCTCTCTCCGCCATTGCCTCTCTCTCGTCTGTTTTCCGATGATGAAGACCAGATCTGTTTTTCTCTCTCTTCAACGCCTTCGCCTCCGTCGCGATCTCCTTTCCCTCTTTCCATCGTCGCCGGCGCCGTCGCTGTCGCCGTCGTGGTCGAGGTCTCCTTTCTCTCTCTCCATCATCGCCGCCGGTCGCCTCTTTTCCATCGTCGCCGCCGGTCGCCTCTTTCCATCGTCGCCTTCGTCTTTCCATCTCTCCCGTGGCTGCCAGCGCAGAAGAGAAGGTGGAGAAAAAAAAATTATTGAATTTTTTCTAATTCCAGGATTGCCCTTCTTATTAATAAAATAGTCCTTCCATTATCTACACCATTAGATTGATCCAAGGGTTGAGGGGGGCTTAGCCAAGTGACTAAGCACCCCCCCTTAGTCACCAGATCCGCTCTCCACGATTATGGGGAGAATAGCAATGGCAGCTTTCGTGGTGGAGGTGTTGTTGCTTGCTCGTGAAGACAGTACTTGTTCAGCAAGTCCTTTCACGGACTGCTACGAAAAGTGCTTAAAGGATTGCTCCAAGATCTTTCTTGATCCTTGCATACAGCCATGCCTAAAGAAGTGCGCACCTCACAAGGTCACCGGTCGGCGTCAAGAAATCCAAGGAGAAATACACAAGAACAAATAACGTGAGGCGTCCTCATGAGTAGAGGACCTATTAGCTTAGTTATTATTATGTGCATTATTAGTCATGTCTCTTCTCTTGATTTTGAGTTGTTTTCGACATCGAATAAAGTGGGCGCTCATGTATATTGTTGATTATATTTGTTCTACATTTTTTTTCATACAACCCTTAATTGAGACTGCATGTTAATTGTATGAAAATTTCGTTGTTCAGTTTTGGGGAAGATGGTGAAAATCAAAATGTAGAAGCTACATAATTTTTTTTTTTTTGCCAAAACGGAATGAAGAAAGAAAACAAAATTGCAATCCCCATGATTGGGATATCCGGCTGGATCGAGTTATGTTTGAGGCTAATTGAGATAATTAAGTTTTATGATAAGTATATATTAGTTGAGCTACGGATTGTTTTCGCAACATCGTGATCAGCCAGTGTATATATAATTATTTTTCCATACGACAAACTCATATAGTATATATAATAGTATTTATAATTTGTTAATATTGATTCTGTTTTTAATCATATTCATGTACAATACCCAAAAGAACTGATGCGGCCAATCCTTGGCCACAATCATGGGAGCTATACGTTGGCTTGGGAATGGGTGGTTCAAATAGTTCACACCTAACTTGAAGGAAATAGAGTCGCAAACAGTGGTATCGTCTATCCTTTGAGTAATTCGAGCTGTCAAACCCTAAACATGATGGAGGACCTGATTGCTGTTAGTTATCCCAAATAGGACTTCCAACGAAGTAACTGTGGAGTTTCTCATGTCAAATAATCTAATGCGCGCAACGAAAGGAAGAAAGAACACATGAGCTTTTTTAACATGGTATGTAGTCCCTCTCATGTTATATCTTTTCTTATTTCTTTGACCTTCATTGTAGCATACAACCACATATATATGGTTTGATCATACTACAAACCTCAAAATATGTAATTACATAATGATACCTAATCTCTATATAATCAACATCTGATGTCAGTGTGTTTTGGATGTCTCGATCATCGGAGGAGGAAATCGGACAGTACCGATGTAGATTTTATTAATTGTAAGATAAATTATACTGTTTGTTTACAGATACAAGATTATACACCTATGGATGAATTCGTAATCAAAGGACAAAGAAGATAAACATTACAAAATTAATCCTACACTATTACAAACATACAATCAAGTCCTCAATAGTATTACAAATGTTCAATCAAGTCCTTAATACTATTACAAATGTTCAATCAAGTCCTCGGTCTTCTCTTTCGGACAACACAAAAATTATATTGTTCAATCAAGTTACTCGTGATTGGCGTTGACCAATGAGGAGACAAGAGAAGCGGAGCTCGACTAAGGATTAGTTGCCATGAAAACCTCATCAAGAATTCATTGGAGAATCGATTGAATTGGAGAAATGATCGAATCAAAGCAAGAAGATTATGCGCTCGAGTGTTTCTTTTTAGTTTTGCTTTTGTTCTCTTGACCTGCGTTGCTTGGCTCTCAGCTGAGTGATTAGAGTAATCCCGGCGTCCTTTTGGCGCTTCTAGTTCATTAATAAAAAGATGTACCGTGCCCAAAATTTTGAACTACCAATTATTTCCACAGACATCAATTTCATTGCATATAGTCAGAACTCGGAAGCAGTTTTATATTTATTTTATATAATGGTGAATATTATTGAAAACCAAAGATACAAAGAAGTACATGGCATCACAAGTATCAATCCTCGTGCTAAACATTTTGAGGAGGACGACGAGTCTGATCTTTAAGAGCTAGTACTGACCATAACCTATGAGCAACTGTATCATCCACTAACACTTTACGAGTATGGTCCTCTCTGAAAAATATCCAGCACAGTACGAAGCCAATCGCCAAAACCCCACTGAGCAACAGGTAACCAAAACCCATAGTGTACAGGCTGGTGAGTAGCGGGAGTCTCACTATCAACAATTGCCTGATGCCGAGCTTCAAAGCCACGCAAAGGCCAAAGAAAGGCGTCCGTATCAAAAGTGGGAAAGCCTCCGGGCCATACATCCAGGGAACTGCACCTAGTCCAATGGCAGGAGACACCTCCACACCAATGAAGATAACACAGTAAAGCGGGAAAGGGACAGTGCGTCTCGCACGAAAATCTGCTAGCAGCATCCCGCCAAGGGCTGCCAGGAAAACCCCTGTGGCTCCCATGCTGACAAGCAGAAGAATCCTGCGACGTCCGGAGGAATTGGCTGTGAAGACCGGAACCAACGCTCCCACCACCTTGATGCAGACCAGGACTAGGGTGGCTACTTTGGAGGCCTGATAGGAGCGCCCACTGTTCTGAAAGATGGGTGCCACGTTATGTAGAATTATGTCCTCGAGTGCCAGCTCCTGAGCGACGAATAGAGCCGCAGTGATGAGCAAACTCCCAGTGAAACCAGTGACCGTGGCCGGGTCCTCGAGGAACCATGTGATTCTCCTCCTTCTGCTTGGTGCATTGATGGCCTCTTCATTGGTGACAAGGTGTATCGGAATCTTGGCAGCCGTTTGTAACTCCCCCAACCTCGCCTCCCTCTCCCCCTCCGGAACCCCACATTTCGACATAACCTCTTCTGCATCCTCCAGCTTCCCGCTCATGGTTATTATCGCACATGGCGTGTCCGGCAAGCAAGCGAGGAGTAGCGTGGAGACCAAGCATGGGCCCGCGCTTATCAACAGTTTTGCCCGCCAACGTGGATGGGCCGACGGTATCCACGCGTAGGCCCACCCCAAAATTAAGAGCAACTGAGGGAAAGTGGTTAAAAAGGCCCGTCTTTTTGAAGGCGCGACTTCAGCTATAAAAACGGGCCCGATTACGAGGCCCGTTCCGATCCCCAGGCCCGTCAGAGCGCGGCCGGCCATGGAAGTGGTGTACTCACCTGTGAAGAAGATGGTTACCGCTCCGATAAGGTAGAGCACGCTGCCTATCAAAGCCACGTACTTCCGTCCAATGAGATTTGCCGTCACGGCGGCGAACAGTGCGCCGAGGATGCCTGGCACTCTCGTCATGAAGCCGGCAAAGAACCTAGCCTGCAACGACGTGATCTTGAGATCTTTCTCTATCTCCTTCACCGCGTTCATCAACCCTACATCTGCAATATAATTAATCGTGAACGTTACTTAATGTCACAAAAAGTAGTTTTTCAAACTTAATTAATCGAGCTACTGAAACAACACGTACCACAACCATAGAGGAAGAAAGGAGTGAAGAGGATAAACGCTAGAGAAACAGGGTAGCTTAGCAACTTGGCCCTTATCCTTGTTACCAGGACTCGTCGCAGGCCGGGACTATCTGTGGCTGCATGCATACAGAAGAAACTACTCTTGTTATAAACATATAAATTATAATTATATATGATTTTTTTACGATGTCCGATTCATTAAAAATCATGAAAGCTTAGCTATCTCCCTCATTGCAGCATTAATATAAAATGTTGAGCAAACATGCCGAAACTAAAATTTCTATATTCTTACAGATCTTTGCAGGAAAATATCCATAAATTTTGTTATACACAACACATATACTTCAAATACAAAGTGAAATCGACCAACCAGCGACATTGGTTGTTTTTTGTTAATCTAATGGAACAGGGCTAAACGACATGCATCCTAGCACAGGGCAGGAATGTGTATAATGGCTACGTACCTAACTGAAAGACAAATATCAGAAGATAAAAAGAGAGATCGGAAGTAGAAAATAATATATTATTGTCTTTGGCAAAAACAAGTAAAAAATATATAATTGTGGATTTGTGGTGAGTACAGTACTAATATTGGGCCATACATTACTCACAAAATTCTCCGTCTTTGAGCCCAAAACACAAACCCACGGACGTTACTAAATTTCAGACAGAAAGTTGGGCTTGTCATGAACTTCACAATTAGTGTTTGAGCCCACAACACAAACCCACGTACGTTACTAAATTTCAAACAGAAGTTGTGTTTTGTCGATCATGAACTTCACAATTAGACACAAAATTCATATTACAGTAAATTTTTCGTGACAAACTATTTAATAAGGAAAATATACTTTCAAAATAAGAGAGTTTCCATAATTAAATAAATATTTCCTTCTATAGTGATAGTTAGATCGTCCATCAAATTTAAAGAGTTAGAATTTTATTTTGACTGTCATTGCAAGGGGCTTTCTCGGCACTTTAGTAGAGTGAGAGTTTCACAGACTTGTATGTCCCTTTTGTTTGTAATGAGGGATTACAAATTAAATACAAAATATATGTTGGATGATACCCCGATCAATTTTACTAATCTACACAATAAATAAAAGCCAAATGAGAAAACTTGAAGCCCCATTTCAAATTTCCTGCATCCAGAGTGAAAGTAGGAAGGACATTTTGGTCTTCACAATTACTTTTTTTTATTCATTAAAAAGACACTTACTAGGATTCGAACCATGACCACTTTAAAGAAAAGCAAAGATCATAACCAATCACACTAAGTACATTTGTTGTATCGTTTTAAACTAAAAATATATAATCGCAGAGAGGAAACAACCCTTCCCCCATTTCAAATTCTCTGCTCCAGGAGCGTTTGTAGGAAGGGTAGAATAGAGAGTGTCAATTTTTTTCTTTTTCCTCTGTGGAACGGGCCAACTTACCGTACACATGCAGATTTAAATGGGTCCAGGAGTGTCAATTTTTTTCTTTAAGTCCTTTTATTTCTCCGTGGTGGTAAAATATATATGAAAAGGCAAAAACAATACTCCTTTTTATTGCTAAAAAGAAAAAAATTAACAATAAACTAATGCATTGATTCTAATGGGCTAACCGCTAATCATAAAATAAAAGAGTTGGCCTGACCTACATGGGATTTGCCCATCAAGTAAAACAAATGAACATCATGGGTTTGTCATTCTAAAACAAGCTATTTTCTCTAGCATAATATATATTATGCTATTATTTTATATCTTAGTGGCTAAAATATAATGTATTTTAAAGTTATTCAATGATTCAACCTCGACCAACCCAATTAGTCCAATTTTTATCATTTTAAATATATATTATGTAATTATTTGATATCATAATGATTAAATTATAGTGTATATTATAGGGAATCGTTTGGTATTTGTTAGTAAAAAACTAAACAAATGAACATCATGGGTTTGTCATTCTAAAACAAGCTATTTTCTCTAGCATAATATATATTATGCTATTATTTTATATCTTAGTGGCTAAAATATAATGTATTTTAAAGTTATTCAATGATTCAAACTCGACCAACCCAATTAGTCCAATTTTTATCATTTCAAATATATATTATGTAATTATTTGATATCATAATGAGTAAATTATAGTGTATATTATAGGGAATCGTTTGGTATTTGTTAGTAAAAAACTAAACAGAAAGATCTATTTGGTTATTTTTAACATTAAAACGATCCTACACATTTTCAGTTTTCTTTCGAAATTCTATAGTTTTATTCCCCGAATCAGTGATGTGCAAATGGCGAATTGCAGTCATCTCTTTTCTTTCGTTATTTTTTATTTTCAAACAGAAAGTTTAAAAGTACATAATTCTTAGAGTTTGGCATGGGTCGGTCAAACATGCTGAATTTCAAGTTTTGGCCCGTTATGAAGCAAATTAATCGGCCAACGGGACGAGTAAAAGCTAGCAACGATTGTGAGATGCTCATTTCCCGAAAATCGGCGGGATAGGTGATTTTTTATTCGATTTTATGGTTCATAAGACTAATTTTTGATTCGTTACATAATTCATGTCGCTTTCCTACTAAAATTCACTATTTTATCACGTATTTCCCAAAAAAAAATACAACAATAAATTATATACCTCATTACATTATCAAATTTCATACCTTACCTTCCTCCGGCCAAATGGCCGGGGCCCACGCTAGTGTCATATATATATAATCTTAATGGATATAGTTTTACCTGTTGGTGGTCGATGGATGACGACGAAGAAGGGAGGCGAGGCTTCGCTAGGAGGAGCATTGGAACGTGGGTGGGAGTGCGACGGCGGCACGTCTGCAACGATTTCCGGTTGTGGTTGTTCTCCTACAAACGTAGTGAATACAAAATTAGAAAGGGAGATGATCAATTAGTGACGACGATCATGATCAGATTTGTTATACAAAATGACAGAGACCAACAGAGGACTAAGGTTTTTTTTGTTAATTGATCAGTGGAAGAGGGTTAAAACTTGAAAGGCATGCAGGAATACTTACCAGAAGATACAATGAGGGATGGGATCATGGGAAGCAGACAATGTATACATTGTATAGTTAAGGTAAGTGGTCACGAATCAGGACATTGCACGGTCAATATGCTATTTTGGCTACTTTTATCTATCTTGTAGGTATTAATAAGTATCCAGACACACATATATGTCATAAAAAGAATTTTGATCGTCTTCACATTGCATAGCGCATTTCAGTGGCTAAGGTCTCTGGACACGAATGGCATATCTCTGTTGTTGTGACATTGGTTGAGCACATGCATTAAGCTGAAATTAGATTACGGGCTGGCGGCCGATCCCATCGGCATTTTTTTTGGTATGATCGATCGATCAAGTTTAAGAATCTTATTCTAATAATGATATTAGATCGGTGTACTACTTATTGAACTACGATTTGTCCAACATAATTTCCCATGTCACACTTCCACCTCCAGCCCATGTACAAGAAAATATCTACTACTTTTGTTCCCTGATGTTACGCCGAATTACTAAGCACTAAAGTTCCATTTCAGTTAATCAAGGAAAACAAACAGATCGAGAAAGTTTAAGCACCGTAGTAAACTTTCTGATGAACTAAACCTACTGTTGTTACTTTAACGCAGACATCATTAAACAAAAAATAATAATAATAAGAAAATGGAGAGATGAACCTGAAAAATGGACTAAAAGTATGTAATAATTTTAATTTAAATGCTCGAACTCCAAACTCATGAGTTAACCTTTTCTCGTTCAGAATAAAGATCTAAAGCAGAGACATCCATGCATGCACGTGTACCTACCTTGGTTGATCTGTATCGCCGGCGCCGCTTCCACTACACCGGCCAATTCGGGACTGACTTCGATTGTCTCTTCAACTACATGATGATGATCTTCTTCAGTTTCCTCCTGAATTTCCATTATTGCAACAGGTTGAAGAGATACGCGGGAGGCCGGAAGTTAAATGTGGACGAAGAGGTGAAGACTAACGATGAACAGAGATTTTATTCAGGTGATCAATTAGTGATGATGACGATCAGTAGCTAGCTAGGTGCGTAGTGGGGTTTTTATAGATGCATGCTATGCGTAAATATGTAGTGTAATTTTATTTTGACAGCCTCCGGAAAATCACCACTTCTAACTAACTTAATTATTACATCCTTCTCTCATATCTCTGCAGCGTGCATCTTATCAATTAATTCTCACCTCGTCCGTGTACGCATAAGCAAATCGCTCTTTTGGCTAAAAGTTCAATCACCTAGCTACATATGCACAGTTGCCATTTTTGGTTGCTTTTCTACTTCTATTATCTGCGCTCTCTCCTTGGTAATTAAAATCTCAACCACTCAGCACTGCTAGCTAACGCTGCTTAATTTGGGGGGCATCATAGTAGTTGTGAGTTTGTACTCGATCGGGGAAATGGAATACCGCTTTCTATTCTAGCTACCCGTTTTGGCGTCTAACGGAAACGAAAATGTTGTACGTAGCATCTGGCTGTGAACCAACCAAAACAAATTGGCGGTATCTCTACAATAGATTAGGTTTTGTAACTAAAGCAAATGGTGGCTACAACAGGAAATAGAGTGGTCACCTTTTTAAATATTTTGGTGACCCATATTGAAAGGCTTCATGGACTTGGACCACCTACGTTAGAGCTAGTGGTCGCGAATTAGGACATTAATTGCGCGGTTAATATGTTATTTCGTGTGCTATAGGCATTGGTAATCTGGTCATTGTAAATATAGCGAATTAGTGACTCACTCAGAGGTTGTCACTCATCAATTTCATAAGAAAATTTTGTCGATATGTTGCTTTAACGTGGACCGATGCTGCGTGATTTTCTTAACCAGCTGTTTATTTCGACCTTGCCCTTGAGTAGTGGTTAACGCGGTTCGTAGAATTGTCAATTGGGTTGTATATAGAGAGACAAGTACAACCATATCTTTGTCTTCATTAGAGTTGTTTTGAGTTTTTAGCCTGGATGATGTTGTTGTTTAGCTGGTTGACTCTTGTAGGGATGGGGTATTTATTTGTTCGTTATTTTTATTTTGACATTTCTGTAAGACTGTAACCAAATAAATTTGGTATCATCATCACATTGTGACGAAAATTAGCTGTCTTGTATTGTAATCCTAAGAGGAAAGAAGGGCATTTAAGGAAGAACGTTGACACGGTACCTTCTAAAAATTTCTACTTCATTGCATACAAATCCAATTAGCTGCATCAACTTGTTCGCTTAGAATTAGTACGCGAGAGCTAGTAATTATTGACTAATATATTTGTCTGTACATACGTGGGTGTAGACAAATTAAATAATGGAAATCAGAGGTTAAGGTGTCCCTGTCCTTTAACAACTAGCTAGCTAGCGTATGAACTTGCTTCTCAACTATTTCCTCTCAATTTACTTATCAATATCAGGCTCATTGTCGACCTGTAATCACATGCAATGTTTGGTTGACTGAAAAGAACGAAAGGTAAAACTTGTTTCAGCAAAACTGCTTTAATTTGGCTCTATTCTACAAGTATACTATACATTAGAAAAGCTAAAACGTTATAATACCAATGGTATGTAAAAGAAGAAAACCTCTGTTGATTACTCGACCACATTAAGCTAGAGTTTCGTGCATTCACTATCTTAACAATAAATACGTATATATGTTCAGTAGAAGAATATTAAAGATGATCAGTAGGGTGGTAGTAGGGTTTTGTAGATATGCTGTAAATGTATACTGCAATTTTGTTCTGACAACCCTCCTAGTAAACCACTTCTTGTATCTGTCATCTAGTTTATCTTTTGGTGCGCATGCAATTCATTAATTTCTGAACACGGTGGATGAATTCCAACGACGGTGAGCATATTACGGCCATCCGGTGTAAGAAAATTGGACAAATTTAATAAAAAAATTAATTTTTTTTTGTTAAACTGAACATAGTATTCAAAATTACTATTATATCCTTTTATGAATTTACATTATATAAATTGAGTCAACCTAGCTAATAAAAAAAATAACCACAATCTTAATCTCCTATTGGTTAGATACTAATATTGTTAATACCCAAACAACATAATAGGTGTTGTCACCACATCCGGTCTCGAAAAACTAATTGGAAAGAATTGAGGTGCTGATTTATGTACACAAGAAAGGGCAAATAGCAATTGATCAAGAAATGCTATTGATTTAATTAAGTCTGCTACCCAGAGTGGAAAAGTTGGAGAAACAAATAGGAAAAAACAAAGGAATTGGAGATTTCTTTTTGCGGAAGGAAAAATGGGGATTGGAAATTTGGAATTTGAGGTACCTAACGATGAATTATCATATATATTGACACGCCTCTGCGATAGTCGTTGTATACGTAAAAAGTGCAGAATAAATATATAAGGAATTAACCGGATAGCATCATATTATTCCGTTCACGAATCGAACTTGAAACATGGGATGATGCATAAAATAAACTAGCAGGGCCGCCGTTTATTCTGCCAAGTCAGTCCCCGGAGCTCACGCTGGCTGTTATTCTCGTGTCTTTTGCACCTCGGATTTCTTGGGAGTACTCGTCGTACTGACCATTGAGCTTGCTTTCCCACCGTCGCCGAAACACTGTTTCAGGCATTTTGTTATGCAACTTGCGTACCCGGGCAAAGAACAACCGTTTAAGCAATCAGTGTAACAATCAGCGGCCGAAGAAATGTCTCCACGAGCCACCAACAGCACCATCACCACCAAAGCCGCCATTGCTGTCCTCCCCATGACAACTCGCCTTCTTCACAGATCGAGTCTAGCTCCTTTTCTGTTCTTTGCGTTCAGCTTTTTGATCGATGTTCGCGTTTACTGATTGCTTCATCTTCAACTATTTTTATATAGTGGGGAAAGCAGTAGCGATATGTTGAGGGAATTGCATGTACCAGTCAACTGCCAAGTTTGCATGACGAGCACGTTTCAAGTTTCTATGTTTTTCCATTTGACATGTGGAAGAGTAGTCTTATGTAAGTTTTATGGGGAGACTTGTTGTTAGATGCGGTTGAAATATTCAATAACTATCATAAATGCAAATATTACTAAGTTTCCTATCTTGTTATGCTTTTCTTGGTAATTAACTAGGTGGCATGCATGCCTGCTAACTGCCAACTACACGCGGTAGTCAACTATACACGTCAATTGCTATTTGCTAGTTATATGATGTAGCAATTTATAACGTATAAAATATAATACAAATACATTAAGTTCGTCCTACACTTAGCACAACGACTTTTTGGGTTTTCCTCACTTCTTATCAGTTGAGAATTTCATATATCTCGGTCGTCATTGATAACTTACAACATACGATAAAAAGGAAAAAGAGTGGATGAAATTGATTCGTTAATTTCAGTGGCGAGGACATTCACAATTCAGTATCATGATCAAATTGTCATCATTTTGTCTTGTGAGGGAACCCTGGGTTCCAGCCCGTCATCCACTATTATCCAATCGTATAATCCAATCTAGTTTTTCATTTTTATTTGGAAAAAAATTTAAATGAGTTAATTTGATATAGTTGAATAATACTAGAAAAATACACGTATAGAATACATTAATCAATTATAGAAGTTAATGGGTTGGTTGTTACTTGGGGCAACCGTGAAAGTCTGGGTCGGATCCAAACTTCCTCTATCGATCCTCTTACACACAACGGGGAAAAAAATTATAAACACGTTTTCATATTTTCTCTCAAGCGCTTTCATCATCATCGATGCTTACAGTTTCATCAAAATTCAAAAAGCACAGACACACATTCCATTTTCACATTTCTTCTTTCTGATGATGCAGGTTTTATGACAATCCTTAGCAGTGGTGCATGACTTTGGTACAGTCACAGCTTCTGCAGTCTTCATTGTCGTCAATGGAAGGCCTACAAAACATGTACGCAATCGAACGCATTTCCATTATTAATTAATACCTACTCCTCACCTTGCAATACACAAATATTGACAACAGTGCAAACAAGACCCGATTTTCATCAGCTTAAATCCTTATGTACGTACCTGAGGCTGCGATCAAGAGAACAACCAAGAAGGCGAACTTCAAAGAAGTGTTGTTCTCCATGTTTTTTTTTTTTTTTTTTTTGCAACGTGCCTTCCTGCCAAAAGAAAAGGAAAAATTGCTCTAAATGTTAAAAAGCAAATTAACTTTTATTAGATTTGCGTTGTAAGAGAGGTATAACCTATATATAGGGGCGAAGAGAGTAAGATTTGGTATTTGTAGTTTTTGCTATTTTCAGGTTTGTGAGAGAATGGTACGAGGGGAGGGGTCCGACCATTGACTGTCAACATTCAACAACACGAAAGGTGAAGCGGAAAGACCGTGACTCCATGGAATCATGTCCTCAGAAAGCAGAAAGGCCTCAGATCCTTCAGCAACCACCGCGTTGACCTTGCCTTTACCCTTGTAGCCCGGTGGATACCCATGCTTCTTGTAGCAGCGATCCACAGTATGGCCAACTCCACCACAATGAGTGCAAACAGGTCGTTGACGATTACCAGCACCGCGACCTTGGCCTTGACCTGGTCCAGAAGAACGACCAGAGGCTTGGCCTGCCATTGCAAGTGGCCCTGAGAATGAGCCAGCTCCAGATGGACTGATTTGGCGCTCGTGTTGGATCACCAGAGAGAAAACTCGAGTAATCGGAGGAAGCGGCTCCATGAGCAAGATCTGACTCTTGGTTTGAGCGAAGTTGTCGTTGAGGCCTTTGAGAAACCGGATTACTTGATCTGACTGCTGGTAAGTGCGAACGAGATTGAGCGCACCGCAAGAGCACCTAGGAGTGCAAGAACACGTCGGGAACGGCCGAAGAGTGACCAGCTCATCCCAGAGAACACGAAAATGAGTAAAGAACTCGCTCACAGAAGCAGTGCCTTGGTTGAATGCAAAAACCTCGTCCTGGAGATCAGAAATCCGGATGAGACTCGCCTCGCTGAAACGATCTTGAAGATCTCGCCAAACTTCAATCGCGGAGTCGAACCAGAGAATGCTCTGCGCGATGTCCGAGGCCAGCGA